ACCATGGCCTGAAACAGGCACATTTTAGTCTTCAAAATGACATCATTACTCCTCAGTAATTTGGACAGGTCCCTGCCAATAGACTTGTATCTGATTTCCTGATTGCTGGTACCAAGGTCATTGATTGTGAATTCAAGTAAGATGAAATCATTGACAGTTTCCATCTTTTCTCCATCTACCATGATATTGCCTTTAGATACAGTGGTGAGAATTTTTGTTTTCTTGATATTGTAATGTAACTCATATTTAAGGCTGTAGATCATACAGGAAATTTCTCATTGTTCTGCCACGGAGTCACTGGTGAATTTGAACCATCAGAGAGGCATGACCTTTGGATTAGCAGTGCACCTCCCTGCAGACTACACCACTAGAGGTCTATCCTCTAGATCCTACCTCAGGAAAATTATATAATTTTTATGAGATCCATAGTCTTACCAAAACTGAGATACTTTTGTGTTCACTTGATTCTTACAGAGAATATAAAAAGCTAAGTTGCTAAACTTCAGAAATGTTGGTTGTTTCTATATAAATTCTCTTTCTTTCTTAGTTTTGGCATAGGTCCTGATCTGGAGTGATGGCTAAGGAAAACCAGACTACTTCACTGCCTCAATTCATCCTTCTGGGATTCTCTGACCTCAGGGCCCTACAAGGCCCCCTATTCTGGATGGTGCTTCTGGTCTACTTGGTCACCTTACTGGGCAACTCTGTGATCATCCTCCTCACTCAAGTCAGCCCCGCCCTGCAATCCCCCATGTACTTCTTCCTTCGCCATCTCTCAGTGGTGGAACTCCTCTATACCACTGACATTGTGCCTAGGACCTTAGCAGACCTTGCCTCCCCATGCCCTCGGGCCATTTCTTTTCAGGGCTGTACAGCCCAGATGTTTGTCTTCATAGTCCTGGGCATTTCAGAATGCTGCCTGCTCACGGCCATGGCCTACGACCGTTATGCCGCCATCTGCAGGCCTCTTCATTACTCCACCCTCATGAATCGAAAGGCTTGTTTGACCATGGTGGGCACTTCTTGGCTCATGGGCATCATCACAGCCACCACCCACTCCTCCCTCATTTTCACACTCCCTTTTCCCAGTCACCCAGTCATCCCGCACTTCCTCTGTGACATCCTGCCAGTACTGAGGCTGGCCAGTGCTGGGAAGCACAGGAGTGAAGTCTCTGTGATGACTGCCACGGTGGTCTTCATCATGATCCCCTTCTCTCTGATTGTCACCTCTTATGCCCGCATCCTGGGTGCCATCTTGGCAATGGCCTCCACCCAGAGCCGCCTCAAGGTCTTCTCCACCTGCTCCTCACACCTGCTTGTGGTGACCCTCTTCTTTGGAACGGCCAGTATCACTTACATCCGGCCCCAAGCAGGGTCCTCTGTCACTGTGGACCGAATCCTCAGCCTCTTCTACACGGTCATCACGCCCATGCTCAACCCTATCATCTACACTCTTCGAAACAAGGAAGTGACAGGGGCCCTGTACCACATGATGAAGAGGCACGTGTCTTCACCCTGAAAGGGACTCAGGGGATGTCTACTCCCTAAATGTTCCCCTTCCCAGTCTAACAGAAATCATTCAGAACTCAGACAAATAAGGCTGCCTGGGAGAATTGCTGGAATTCAAATAGAGATAAATCTTTATCCACACCTGCAAGGAGTACTGATAATGCAAACATTCAGAAGGTGGCTACTAACAGAAAAGTGAAGTATTTAAGTCCTCCTTGTGGCTTTCTGGGGGGAAAAAAATAGAGGAGCTCTGGTGGCCTAGTGGCAAGAAGCTGCACTGCACTCCCAGAGGCACACAGTTCAAATCCACCAGATGCTTTGCCAGGAATGGAGGGACAATCTCCTCCTGTACCAGTCAGATCCGATTTGACGGTACACACACACACACACACACACACACAAAATAATTTTTTAAAAATGGAAATCTGTTTCTACAGAAATTACAGCCTAGAAAACCCTTCAAAGCAATTCTATTCTATCACACCAGATGACTAGAAGTCAGAATGTGCTTCAGTGCACACAACAATGATAGCATCCTAGCGAGCTCTGATGGCCTAGTGGCAAGAAGCTGCACTGTAATCCCAGAAGTGAGCCATTCCATTCCACCAGATGCTCTGCTGGAGAAGGAGGAACAATCTCCTCCTATACCTGTCAGATCAAAAAAATTAAAATAAAATAAAAAAACAATGATAGCATCCTATACTTGAGCCTTAAAATCAAAGCAAAGAATGTTAGGATAAGGGAGAATGGAATGAAATGCTGCTACAGAGAAGAACATGTGGCTTTATATAGATAACTCTAAAAAATTCTATTTACTTATAATTCAATAAAAGTCTTTGTCCTTTCATGGTCTACATTATTATCTATATACTAATAAAATACTAGCCTTCAATAGGTTGTAAGAGATTATGTCTTAACATAAAGAAAGCAAAAATCCTAACAACTGCACCAATAAGCATGATAAATAAAGACTACCAAGGATTTCAGTCCTTGATATGCAGATGATACAACCCTGCTCACTGAAACTGAGGAGGACCTCATGCACTTACTGCAGAGGGTCAAGGACTGCAGCCTTCAGTATGGACTGAGGCTCAATGTCAAGAAGACAAAGA